GAATAAACCAACAGGTGTAAGTCAAAAAAATTAATTTTTTAGGTTATGTATGTTATGATCAATCTCTCACGGCATATATCAACATGGGTCAGATCGAGGCATCAAGTTAGATCGAATTAATTCGTAATGATACCGAAAGTGTAACGCTTGTATTCTGTTTGACGTGTGGCACGAAATTTTTGCGGGTTCTAATAGGCCACTTTCGATATATTAAAATTCAGCTTGATAGTGAGGCTTAGAGGACACAAACAAAGGAAACGAATAAACATGCTCATTCAATTTCTTTTGTTTGTGTCCTCTAAGCCTCACTGCCGAGCTGAATTTTAATATATCGAAAGTAGTTTCTTGTTTCGATTTTTGTGGCTTTTTCCAAGATCCGAAAAAAAGCTCCCGCAAAAATTTTCTCCGCAAAAATTTACTCCCTTTTATACATTCAAAACTCACATGTAGAATCGTTTTGGTGCCATTTACTTAAAACTTTTCTTCTTCAGAAACAAAACGATGAAATTAGAATCAAAACGTTCAGAAATAAAATGCTCAAATTTCCTTCGGTACACTACAGGACGTGTTATAATGCATCAACCGATACCATAGTTATTGCTGGTCAATTGCAGAAGCAATCAGTCACACTAGGGCTAAATGAAATTGTACTGACTGAGTGACACTGTTTACCGTGTTTTACACATACTATTATCTCACTGGATGTTGTTTCACTTCTCGATTGCAAGTAGTCAAATAAAAAAACGAAAATGTCCAATTTCAATTAAACGCAGCTTCCTGAAAATCGCAAAAATAAATACCCAGCAAGAAAATCAGTCTTTTATTATCGCAAAAATTAGTTCCCGCAAAACACAAATACTCGCCGATCGGCAAAATTAAACCCCCTCAAAAGTTAAGGGTCACACAGTATTTTACATTTTATTTAAAGCATGAGATATAATATGAGCGTCGCGCTGCGTACTAGCGTACTTGCGTCAATGGGGGCAAGTGAACGAATCACCAGGAACTGATTCGCGCTGACTGGTTTTCTCTTCATCTTGTATCAGTATCATTTCTGTCCATGAAATAAAGCAAGTAAGAACAGATTAAAGCTTTAAGTTGGCTTTGACAAAGAGCCGCGGAGACCCTCTTGAGATGGAGCTGATGGAGTTCTAACCTGTGTGACAATCTGTTTTGGTAAACGGTCGTAAATACTGAAGTCCCAAAAAACTTAACGCAACCCTCACATAAAAATTAAGAGACCACATTAGCCGATTAAAAACTATCATATAATGCGCACTTCCCGAGAATAAGCAAATAGGTATAATTCGCAAGAATTGATTATCAATAAGAGTTAGATCGAGTCTGATCGAATTGTATTCCTAAAACGACTGGAAGTGAAAATGCCCTCCTGTTTACTTTACCTAGCATTACGCCTGCATTTTACACGGTTTGGTTTAGCCGTGGGTTTCTCCGCGCTCTCAGCCAAGTGACATTAGGCAAGCCAAAAGGGCCTTTTGATTCAATTCTCTTGACAAGCTCATCTGAAGTTCTCAAAATTGCGTTAAGTTATCGTTGTTGAGGCATCTAAGCATTTAGCTGTTATAAAATCACTATTATAAAATTATATATAAACTTCACACGCTTTATCGATATAGTTCTTGAAACTTGCGGTACAATTTGAGATTTCTGCCATGCGCCACAACACGACAATTTACTTAATAGTGCGTTGTATTCGAACCACAGCACGTGCAATGAAGCTATAATATCCAATTTTTTTGGAAGAAATGAAATCAAAACTTTTGTAATACCAAAATGATTTAATGATGTTCTAGATACCCAAAATTTGGCGTTAAAACATGGCATTCTCAATTTCGCCCAAGCCTTTGGTCGGCACTTCTCAATTATTAATATTGCGATAAATTTATTTAGATGTTTCTTTGGAAAAAATTACTGTAATCTCCAAAATGGAACTGATTAAGTTCAGCCCACATTTCGCATCAACTGTTTTATGTTTTCCGCCCATACAATTTATAGCTTTTTCCGTCCTTTATTCGCTTCGTAGCCCCCGAGAATACGAAGTCGACGTTTAAATATATATCCCCAAAAAGGGAAATACAGCAATACATATTTCTACTTGGATTCCATTTGAAAATTAATCTTTTTCTCTTGACTAGCTCATTTGCAAAATTGATAAAGATATCGATATTAATAAAGATATCGTTAATCCGCAATCATCTTCCGTTCTTCAAAATAGAACTTCTTCTTTGACATCCACCTGCGTTGTTTCCACGAAAACAGGTTTTGCTGAACAAGTGAAAACCTTCAATAACTCATATAAAGCGGCCTCTTACGAACTCTCAGAATCAATTCAATAATAACGAATCTCACGAAAACAGACCATTTTAATGTTAAGTGCTTTCCTTTCCGTCAACTTTATCCTTCTCACCACACATTTCCCGGTCGTTTAAAAAGCGAAGGCAATTCGCTGATTGCCAGCTAAATTCAAAAAACTCTTTCCACTAGCACGAAGAAGCTCATTTCTACATTTTGTAAGTCTATTTTTCTATACATGAATTAAACACCTTTTTAATAGCGTTTAAAATCTTGTCAACCTGGCGACGGTTTTTGCCGAGACTACTCTGCATTCATGCACTAAACCTGTGAAATTTGCATAACTTTAATTTTCTTTGCATCAAATTTTAGTGCCAAGTAGAATTACGGAACCTTTATCAACTCTCAACAATATTGTGCCGGAATGAACAAAGAAATGATTTGCTTGCCTATAAGAGAACAGCTCAGACACTTGCAGTACGAAAGCAGGTTACAGTTATAAGTAACACCACCTCGTTCGCGGAAACGAAAAAACAATGAATTTCTCTCAGTCTTCATGGATTGGTAATGAAAGTGAATGTAAAAGCTTTCTCTTCAAAGCTGTTCCCTTGCAGTATTCTTCTACCGATTCATTTTATGGTTTGCTTGTCGCAGCAGCAATTCTTAATTTGGCCACTTGTCCTTTTACCATCTTCTTGAATACTTTGGTTATGGTAGCCGTGAAAACCAGACGACGACTTCAAACACACCCCAACATTCTGTTGGCTTGTTTGGCACTTACCGATCTGATGGCTGGGCTTGTTGTACAACCCCTTCACACAGCGAAGACTATTTTCCTCCTCCAAAGGAAAGATGCTCACGAATTTTGTAACATCGAGCTAGCATTTTCCGTCTCGTTTTTGGTATTTTCCTTCATTACCAGTTGTCACCTTCTTTTAATCAGCGGAGAGCGATATCTTGCCATCAAACATACCTTCGCCCACGCTACAGTCGTCACTAAAGCTCGTCTGATCATGTCCTGTGCTGTGGCGTGGATTGCAGTGATGGTATTCCTTCTTGTTATATCGCATTTCACAATAATCTTCTTTATTTACAATGCAATAATCATTTTTTCAATCTTCTTGCTTCACATTTTTGTTTACAAGGAGGCCCGTCGACACGAAAAACAGATTCTTTCACAGCGTGTTTCCATGGAGGCTAGAGAAGAATTTAAACAGGAGAAGAAAGCTTTAAAACTAACTACGATAATACTAGTAACCATTTTTCTGTGTTGTTTGTCACCGTTGATTTTCTTGTTTGTTACATGGCTTCTTTTTAGCCAAGCATTTCCGCCTCATGTTAAAGCATTAGTTCGTCATCTTGGTCTTGCGCCGGTGTTAATCAATTCATTTCTTAACCCAGTCATTTACACTGTGAGGAAGAAGGAATTTCGAGTTGCATTTATTGAAATGCTTTTAAGAAAGAGTTTACAAGACGCGGAAGCATTTCATCGGAGACTGTTTGGATCACGAAACAATGCTGTGATACAGCAAATTGAACAAGAAGGCGGACGACAGGAACAGAATGCCGAGAATGAAAATGCATCTCACTCTGCTGAAAGGCAACCATGAATACAATCCTGAAGTGCACATTTCTGGCGATAACTTCGAGGACAGAAACTCCACCGCTACGACTGCCACCCAGAGCAGGCCTGTTTCTTCAAATTAACAAACCAGCACATTCAAAAAAGGGGCAAGAAACGATATGGCGAGGGTAGAAGTCTTGCACATGACAAAAGCAAACATGAAAATAGTGCTGAAGGTCTTGTTCCAGGGGCTTGTTTGGATTTTAAAAGCACTGACTAAGCTTAAACAAAAAGTCTCAAATGAACAGAACACAATCAAGATGACAGAAAACGAGCCACAACAGCAAGTTAGACTAGAGAAAACGGACTGACTACACGTATAAAGTGTGGGAGGGAATGTTTTAAGGAACGGAAGCGAGGATGACATTGTTTCGAAAAAAATCGTTATATGGTTAGCGAATAACAAGACAATCAGAAATCGTAGATACTACGCTTTGAACAGTTTGTTCTTAAGTCTTAATAGGCCTTATCACGGTTTTTGGGGATAGGCGAGAGTCAGAAATTACAGTGTTTGTATGGTAATCCGAGTTCTGAATTGAGTTCTGAACAAATTATTGAAAGCATTGTTAAGATACTAGAAAAATGATTACATTAACCAAATTTGAGGGATTTACCTGAGCTAGAATACGGCGTCCAGACGCGTTCTTTATTTTGCAAACATTTTTCAATGATTTTTTCCACGAATATGTACGCAGCTTTCAAGTAACGAAACTTCGTTGTCAGTGGACAGTGGTTTGAGCATGCGTTTTGTATTTTGAGCCTGCGTAATGAATGTTAGTTCCCAAG